TCTCCAGCTTCCCCCCCGAAGTTCATGACTTACAGTAACAAAGCAGGTACAAGAAAACTGCAAGAAACTTCCCTTAGTGAATGGGAAGAAGAGAATATGCGTAGAGGTCCCTGATCCAGAGAGGGTACAGAATTCTGCTGGGCTGCTGGAAAGTCACCAAGAAGACCCCCTAGGGATGTTCTTTGAATACACAGTGATTCTATTCCGGGAAGCATTCTGTTGTTGTTCTGGGTCTTTTTGTTTTTGTAGTGTCTCCTGGATCCCCAGCCTCTCAAGGCTCTTATTTCTTGCTCCCCAGTCACATCTTGCTGTCATTCTCCCTAGAGGCTGCATAATGTGTGTAGTTCACTTCCTGTGGGTTATTTTACTTTGTGAATATTCAATTAAATCAAGTCTCATGGTTTTTTCAGCAATGGAATTTTCTTAAAAATTTGGTGATTTTTTTTTTTTTGCAATCTATTTGCTTCCAATTAACTTTACATGACAATAACCACATTCAGTCTTATTTTTTCCCCCTGAGGTTTCTTTTCCCCACTTTTTTAAATTGGTGCATTATAGTTTTACGTACTGATGGGGTTTATTGTAACATATTCATACATGCACACAATATAATTTGGCCCATATCCCTCGCCAGCAATCCCCCCTTCCTCCCCACCTCCCACCCCTTGGAGCATTTCCTCTACTGACCTCCCTTTGGTTTTCATGAGATCTGTCCCCTCCTTTGTTTGTCTTTTTCCTCTCTAACTTCCACACATGAGAGAAAACATATGGCCCCTGACCTCCTGAGTTTTACTTATTTCACTTAACACAATGGTCTCTAGTTCTATCCATGTTCCTGCAAATGACATAATTCATTTTTCTTTAGGACTGAAAAAAAACTGCACAGTGTATATTACCAAATTTTCTCAGAATCATTTTTTTATACAGAGTTCTAACATTACCTTGGTATCCTTACCCCTTGGCTTTAGTCTCTTAGTGGTGACTGCCCTGAGGCCATCTGAGATAATGGGCTAGGTGGTGAAAGATATATCCTTTATATTATTTTTTGCTGCAATGTTAAGTCATAAGGGTATTTGCTCAAAAAAAAAAAAAAAAAAAACCCCAAACTATCTTGGGGGTCTCTCTGTGGAAATTTTATTTCCCATTACAAACTAGCTGGTACTTTTATATATATATATATATATATATACACACACACACACACACACACACACACATATACATATATCTTCCTAAAGGCATTCAGAAACCACCATAATGCTTCTTCACCTAGAGCTACAAGGCTCAGGAGGCAATGGTCTACATTCCAACTTATTCCTGGTGGCAGCATTACCATTTACATAGGATGCTCTCCAACCTTCTAAATTACCCTGGGTTCTAGTACATCAATGGTTCTGTGCTGCCTCTTAGAGGAAACCCCTAGGCCAAGGCCACATCTCTTCCCAGTTTCTCATACTCCACTGCTGACCAAGTCTAGATCATTCTACCTCTCCAATACCTGTAAATCCCTTTCCTTCAGTGTTATCCCCAGTACAACTGTCTTAATTTAAGTCATCCTTTCTCATGTGAATTAACATCCCCTTATTGATCTCTATGCCTCCAAAATCACATCCCATCTCTGCCACTGGTAAACATTCTAAAGTGCAAATGTGATTGCAATTTTTCTTGAAAGCATTTGGATACTCCTATACTTTTAGGTTAAAATTCAATGTTTGTTATGGTTTGGATGTGAGGTATCCCCCAAAAGTTCACATATAAGACAATTCAAGGTTCAGAGGAGAAATGATTGGGTTGTGAGAGTCTTAACCCAATCAGCGATTTAATCCCCTAATAAGGATTAACTGAAGTGGTAGGGTGTGGAGAAGGTGGGAATTGGGGCATGGCTTTGGGAATATATTTGTATCTGGCAAGTGGACTCTCTCTTTGCTTCTTGGTCACCATGATGTGAGCAGCTTCCCCATGCCACACACTCTGCCATGATGTTCATCCTCATCACGAGCCCCGAAAAATGAAGCCAGCCTTCTATGGACTAAGACCTCTGAAAACATGAGCCCTCAAATAAACTTTTCCTCCTCTATAGTTGTTCTGGTGAGATCCTTTAGTCACAGTAGCAAAAAAGATGACTAAAACAATGTTCTTCAGTATCTAGTTACCACTCCCCAAACCTCACATTCCAGGTCTAGAAAAACAATTTAGCTCCTTTAAATATACCAAAATCATCTTTTCAGAATCTATCATCAGATAGATGCTAAGTCCTCTAACTAGATGGGGTTCTTCTTCTTTCTTGAGTTAATTATTCATATTTCAAAATTTACCAAAGACTTGAAACTTCCTGGGAACCCATCTCTGGCTCCTAATCTGAAAAAAGTATCCCCCAATTGATTTCAAAGCAACAGATTTGTTTCTATACATAGTTATCAATTTGGTATATTTTAATTACCTGTCCTCCTTCATCTCACAACAGGCAATCATGTCCATCAAATTTGAACTCCTAAGGGCAAGTAGCATATCTTTTGTTCTTTACACATCAAATAATTAATAAATGGCTATTGGGGAACACATGCATGAACCTCAAAGTCTCAGCATGGTAATGGACCCTCCTATATACACACATCTTCAGTCTCTTAAGTGCCAGATCTCCTTTCCAAGCTCATAATGACTATCTCATACACATACCTACTTAACAGGTCTAAAGTAAAAGTCCCAATCCTTTCCCTGTCTATCCAATATCTGCTTTTCTCTGATATGGTCTGAAGGTTTGTGTCCTTCCAAAATTATTCCTGGAATCTAAGACCCAGAGCAATAGTGTTAAGAAGTGGGGCTTCTTGGGAAATAACTAGGTCATAAGGGCTCCACTTTCATGGATAAGACTAATGCCTTCATAAAAGATGCTTCAGAGAGTAGCCTAGCCCTCTTCTCTTCCATCCCTCCAACTATGTAAGGGACATTCCCTCCAGAGGATGCAATGTTGAAGCACCATCTTTGAAGCAGAGAGTAGGCGCTCACCACATACCAATTTTTTGGTGCCTTGATCTTTGACTTCCCAGCCTCCCTTACTGTGAGAAATAAACTTAGACCATTTACATATTACCCAGTCTCAAGTATTTTGTTATAGCAGCAGAAACAGACTAAAACACCCACTGATTCCCTGTTTCAATTCAATGATATCTGTCTAGTTTCACCGTCTAGAAACCTCAATATCTTTCTCAACATCTTAATTTTCATTATACAACCAGTTGATCTTCCAAAAAATAATTAAGTCATCCTAAAATAGTTCTCTAAGTCTGAATTTACCAAAATATATATTTAAAAAAACAGACTCAAGAACATTAATTGGCATAATATGAAAAACAATGGTATTCTTTGGTCAAATTAAAACAGTAAACTAATTTCTTTTTTGCAGTATTTTCCAGAGGTTTTAATATATTAATGATCAATATGAACGTTCAAAAGGGGAAAATAATAGGTATTTTTTTCAAACTTATCTGACCAAAGAGCAATTTTGCCACAGCAAGTCACTCAGGACTAGTGTTCCAGCACGTGCCATCTCTTCTCTACACGCCATGCTTCACTGTGTCCCTGGGAGAGAGCCCTGCCTCTCTTACGTGCCCCATCTCTGTGTCTCAGCCAGCCTCCTCACTTAACTCTCTGGTGCTATTCTCTCCGTAGCCTCTGCTGCCAGTTTTATTTCCTGACAAAAATAACAGGTCACACCTGACCCCTTCCTTAATCACAGCTTCAAAGTCATCTCTGGTTTTTCATGAAACATAGATTCAATTCCTAGTCTGCTTGTGTTCCCTCAAAACCTAGCCCTACCTCTCCTCCCAACTTCATTTCTTACCAAATCAGTTAATTCCCAAAATATATCATGATTTTTTACCCTTTAGAACTTTAATATGCTTTGCTCTAAATGCTTAATGTGTCCTCTGGGTCCCTACCACCCTACCTCTAAACAAACTTCTCCTTAAAACCATTTCTCATGAGATCTACTCCAATAAATTGTCATTCTGGCCTTTCTTGGTTTCTGCTTGATGTCTCCATAACACTCTGCATTTACCTCTATTATGGCAAGGATCACCCTGTATTTAACCCACACAACTGTCTGAGCCTTTTAATTTTAATTTCTTCAGTTCCTAACATAGTGCTTGGCACAGAGCAGGCACTTTTTGTAGAGTGAAAAAAATACAAATGAATGAATGAATGAATGAGCATGTTTACAAATATAACTAAGAGGAGAAAATTAACATGAGGGCTTGAAAGCCATATCTAGAAACATACTATGAAAAGTTCCTTTATGGGACTGGGGCTGTAGCTCAGTGGTAGAGCACTTGCCTAACATGTGTGAGGCACTGGGTTCGACCCTCAGCACCACATAAAAACAAATAAATAAAATAAAGGCATGCTGTTCATATACAACTAAAATGTTTACAAAAAAGAAAAAGAAAAGATAATTTATTTAAGTCAGTAATGACTCAGGCAAATAACACTTTCCTTGAATAGAACTCCGGTTTCTAATTTACTAAATTTCTGATAGGGGCTATATATACCTTGTCTTAAGGGAAAAACGTTACAGCTTTAAAAAAAAAAAATCTTTGTAGTGTTTTGGGGGAGCATACTTGTATTTATATTATATGTATTATTTGTAAATTGCCTGCCTCACCTACCTCATTTGATAGCAGAATTCAGGCCTATAATCTGATGACTGCTTTAGTTACAGTAAAATAAACAGTCTCTGAGGATCTGCACTAAAAAGAACATCACTGCTAGAAGATACACCAGCCAGTCTGGTCCCCTGAACTTCCTTTTCCCATAAAGATGCTCTCTTCGTTTTCTGGTGGTCCCAGAGATTGGGAGCTCTGTTAATCACACCTCCCTATCTTTCATGGCTCAAATTTAAAGTTTAGAGATTGTCCGAACAAAGAAATTCTGTCACAAGCACAGGAGAAGTCAATAGTTCCTTCTACTGGTTGCTGAATTGCTTAACTCCACCCCAAACTTACCTTTTGTAAAAAGATCTATACACTTGTATTTTTCTTTCATTTTAGAGACATGTGGCTCCTGGGAAGAAGTTTGTGGTATGGAGGGCTCCTCTAAAGTTTCACTTTTGGAAAGCTCCTTGGAGAAACCAATACTTCTCAGTACTGTCCGGTGTTCTTGGACCACATCAAATGACTCCGTTTTTTTAATCTTTAAAGGTATGTATTTGCTGGATTTCAGGTTTTGATGTTTGTTTCTAAAAATATTTATAGAAGGACCTCGAATTTTATTCTATAAGTAAAACAAAAAAAATTTTTCAATTGACTTTAGTATCATGATTTACAAAATTCATAATTTTCATCAACAAATTAATAAAAATGTATAACATACTATAATAACAAATTAATAATTTGGTAATACATTAAATTTTAATCAATAAACAAAATTGTGTCTTCACCAAATACATTTTACAAACTACCTCACCATACCAAGCATTCACTATCAAGCACATGATAATAATCAGCTAAGTCAAGTGTTATTCTATGTAACTCTCCAAAAGCCCTTCACAAGTATGAGAGCTATATCCCACTTCAAAAGAAATGTTAATTTTTAAAATAGTAACTTCCCTTCAAATGTGATGTTTTAAAATACAGATTCGAAGTCTATTTTAAAATAGGAGTTTTCAAATAGACATATAAGAATGTAATTCTTTTGACCATCTTTAAGGAACTTTTAAATGTCCATAAATGCTAGCATCCCTGAAAGAACGAACAAGGCTCGTCATCAGAGAAAATGCCCGTTTATTGAGGAACAGCTCTGCATATTTATAGAGCCGGGGGTGGTTTGATAGTTATGACAGTTTAACAGTTTAATGGTTTGACAGTTGGCACAGGGTGCTTTCTGATTGGTGGGTAAAGATCATGTGAGCCAGCGGCGCTAGTCTGATTGGTGGGTAAGGATCATGTGAGCCAGCAGGGCTCACCATTGGAGGCTCTTCTCGGGGGATGGGGAAATTAGTCTTTGGAGCCGGGGCGACTCCCAACAATCCCCAAATCTCTTTTTCTGCTAAACTGGAAATAATTGAACAGATGTGAAAGTAGGCTCTCAAGAAAACCATACTGATAATAGGATATGTATTTCAAAGTCTTTTATTCACCTAATTCTATGTTCATTTTGACCAACTTGAATAAAGAAATTAATATAGCTCCAGGGCTTTGATGGATAATTACCTGAATAATTATAATTGGTCTAAGGATACAGCAATAGCTCTCTGCTCCCAACCTTGGAAGAGGTCAAATCATTGCCATTTCAAATCATTTCCAACTCAGGATGCCAACAAAAAGGCTACTACAGTACACTGGCATTGTTTGGCCAGGCAACCTTATCCTTTTATAGTCAGATAAAATTCCTGACACAGGTCATGTTTCCAAAGGCATGTGTGTTGAAATGAACACTATCAAGCTTTTATCACATGCTCCTCCCAGAAAAACCAATACAATTAAAAATTATTTTAAATATGTTAAAGGAAAAAAATTGATAAGTGATGTTAATAACAATGTTGATTATAAGATTAAAACCACCTATGGCCCGTGACAGCATAGAGAGCCATCCAAAAGAAACATAAGTAAAAATTACAGCCCTCCTTCCTACCAAAATAAGCATTATAAAACATTTGATATCTTCATTTAAAATTCTGTAAAATATTTTTTAAAGTATTCAAACCAGAAAAAGGCATATAGTACACCATTCTAAGATCCCCTTCCCCCACCTGCCTCTCAAAGGTCCAATTGTCACAATAGCTGCCCCTTCTCCAGATTTCCCAAGTGCTCTGTGGATGCTTTTCTCCAAAATGTCATCCCATGCTGACCTTCCTCTTCTCTTGGCTCTCCCTTTCCCTGCCTCTTCTCATCTTCCAGATCTATGCCATTCAGCAAATATTTATTGAGCCAGGCATAATGCTGTTGCTGGAGATGCTATCAAAGTGGCAAGCAGACTATTCTAATGCAAAGTGACCTGGATGAAGACACAGGTAAGCATGTCTTGCTATGGGCAAACACAAAGTAAGATGCATCTCCCAGTATGTTTCTCACTTTATCTTCATCTACACAGTGTTTAGAGAGGTGTTTACTTGAGATAACAAATTCAAATAATCCTGTTATAATTCACCAAAATAAAACATCCAAAATTGTATTAAATGTGCAAACTCAATACACGTGTATATAATTAAAAACTTGTATGACTGAAAAATCCTATTTTTAAATGCCATCTGAAATCGACTTTCATAGCTACTGACGGTTTTATTTTCTCTTCTATTCTGAACCTATCACATATTAGGGTTCATGCAATTCTTGGAATAACCCATTGTAGTATACAAAAATAGTTTCCTAAAAAACAATGATAGATAAATACAAAGCACTAACCTCATTTATTCTTTGATAATGTTCAGCAATGAGAGTTTTTGCTTCTTGAAAAAAATCTTTCTGGATGATCTCTGATATAGGACCTGAAAGAGAAACACTTCATTTTTTTCCTAAGTAGTTACTTGTACTATCTCCATCAAAATGATGAAACTGTGAGATTAAATTTTGGGGACAGGCATGACTCTCACAGGACATTATAAAAAGTAAACTTTATAAATGAACATTATAAATGGATACAAAAGCAGTCAATACAATGATTACTTAACTTAATATTTTGCTACTTAAAATGAAAACTCAGTTTGCAGTGGTCACAGTGATGAGATAGATTATCCTAAATTATTAAAGCTCAGTGAACGGAGGGAGTGGGATAGGAAGAGGAAAGACAGTGGAAAGAACCTGACATAACTTTCCCATGTACTTATATGATCCACCACAGTGTCCCTCCCACCATAATGTACATCCACAAGACTGGGCCCCTAATTAGAATAAGATATACTCCATATACATATAACTATATAAAAATGTACTCTACTCTCATGTATAACTAAAAAGAACCAATAAAAATATTAAAGCTCAGGAAAAAAATATTAATACACACAAAATTAAAATATCCATCTGTATGGAAGTTCTTTAAATATTACTTTATAGAAGATACCACATATTTTGGACACAAAAGTTATTAATCTGTGTTTTCTATACTTGCTGACTAATGCATGTGGCTGAACATTTCTTCAAGAATATTTACCTAAAAACTTGTTGAAAAAAATTTAGCTGCAAAATAAGATGCTTCCATAAGTTTATAGGATAGGAACTGCCGTGAAGTAATACTATACATACCAACAGATAAGAAACATGGTAGTGATAGCTCATTTATATTTATCTAAATTTCTTAATTCTTTTTAACCCAGGCTACATATAGATTTCTACAGCATGTACAGTCAATATCATTCTCGTTTATTTTTGTCTAAGATTTTTCTCCCCAGATATTTCCTTTATAATAGCTGTTCCTGATATTTCTATTTCTTGGTTTCCTCCTCCTAATCTCAACTCAGTAAAATTTAAACATGTTATCTGCTGATATTAGCTTCTTCATCTATCCAGTGGGCTCCTCCTATCTATAACTCGACCTTCTTTAGGGCTCTTCTTCTCATAGACTCAAATTTTAATTAATTAAAAATTCCATCTTTATGCAGATACAAAACATAATAAGATACTTCCACACCCACCAGAATAACTAAAATTAACAAGATGAATAACTCAGAATGTTGTTCATGCTGTGGAGCTAATGAGACCCTCTTGTTCTGGTGGTAACATAAAACCAGGTCATCTGTTTGGAAAAAGGTATGACAGTTTCTTGAAAACCAAAATAACTACTCATCCTATGACCCAGCAATTCCACTCCCAGATATTTACCAGAGAGAATGAAAACATGTTAACAAAAGACTCCTACAAGAATGTTCACGACGGCTTTACTCATAATTCCAAGTTGGAAAGGACCCAGATGTGTATCAACAAGAGAATGGATAAACACATTGTGGTATACTTAAACAATCCAAAACCACTTAGCAATAAAAAGAACCAAATTTACTCACATGCACAAGAACACAGAAAAATCTCAAAAAACATTATACCATGTTAAAGCAGCTTTACCAAAAAAAAAAAAAAGTGCATTTTGTGTAGTTCCACTCATATGAAGCTCTCCAGCAGACAAAACTAATCTATGATAGAAAGAACACTCATTCTACTATGTGGAGTATCATGGAGTATCAAGGATTAACTGAAAAGGGACAAGAAAAGTTTTTTTCTGAGATAATGATGATATTCTATCACTTGATAGGAACAAGGCATATATAATTATCATAACTCAATAAATGGACTCTTTAAGATTTCTGTATTGTTTACATATATTTTACATAAAAGTTATAGAGTTAAATACTCTGTAGTTATGGAGAAAATACAAATATTGAATTCTAACTGATATACATGTTGATTAATGGATAAATCCATGTTCAATCAAGTACAGTAAAATATTAATGTAACAACTGGGTAGTAGATATATGGGTGTTGAATAAAAATTCTTTCAAGTTTACTATAAGTTTGAATAATAAAGTATTGGGGCAAAACTCTCTCTTCATTCCTGCTCAAATACCCCTTGCCTTTCATTGTGTAGACTCGCAGGCCACAAGCAGCTGAGGTCCTGAGGAATGGATCCTAGGGGAGAACCCAGCAATAAAGAAGAAGAAGAAGTGGTCTCTCAATCTACCATACAAGTGCTTGGTTAGAATAGGCAGCATACCAAAGGTGACCCAACAACACACACAGCCTTGGAGATGTCCCTCTACAGTCTTCTAGGAAGAACAATACCTCCTTAGCTCTTCAGCCCCTCCCTAAATCTACTACTAAAGAAGTGCTTTTAAGTCATTAACAATACAATGCAGCACAAACTCACGTGCAAATCACAAAATCTATATGCATTTCACAATTTGGAGCCATAAGATGCACTGTCCTCACATGGAATATACAGGAGTTCAGAAAGGAGAACGTCAGTTTCATCAAGTTTCAACTAAAATCCAACTCCACTCTGAGGAGGCCTCTAGCCAGGACACCTCCTCCCTGGCGTAGAGACAGTGCGCTATTCCCAGGTGTGGCTCCACAACTCGTCCTCTTTTTCTTCGTCTCACAACACTCCTTTCCTCTTTCCATTCCCTTCTTAGTAATCAAACCTCCCTAACAATTATTTTAATTACAATTAATTGCAATATGGTCATGAGTCATGCACAGGACAAGCTATATAATGAAATGTTAAGTCACCATTTTTTTTAAATATAGCTTTATTAAAAAAACCTATAATTTCCTCCAAGAACTTAGAGATGATCTGGTCTTCATTTACAGGCAAAGCTCTGAGAGGCAGAGGGCATTAGTGACTTCTGAAGCCATACAGCTGTACTGGGAGCCTGCAGAGGCTTTGGTCTTCCGAGTCACATGCTGCTTTTTTTCCACACATCTGCCACTTTTCCTGATGCCATTTACTCCCTGCTAGGGCACTGGAGACTCCTCTGAGACTTGGCTGGCCACTCTGGTGAAATGCTCACATTTCACTGACATTTGCATTTTAAGCCTGCACTCCGGCACCCTTGATGTCATTTAATGTGCTGATGCAGCTGTTCTGATTTTCCCAGTAGTAAGTAAAAATTAGCTGTTGACAGAGGAGTTCAATTCCCAAGATACCATTTTCTTCCTAGCTGGGCTCTGTTGATCTGTGTGCCTAATTTCCCCACCCAAAAGGGCCACTGGTCCTCTATGAACCATGGAGAAGCTCATCTCCACTCTGACAACCCTAATGGCCTTCTTGGGGCCAACCAGCAGATTCTGACTCTTTGAGGTCCTGCCTCAGCGAACCCATACAGCAGGCACCAGAGTCTTGAATGGAACGAGGCCTTAATATTGTTCATAAAAGAGCAGAGACAGACAGCCATGGTCAGAGTGTAGCAATTGTGCACAGTTCTTGAAGCAGCTCCACAGACAGCGGGTGGACACGCTGATCCCAGGCAGGCGACCCTGAATCCTTGTTGTCATTTTGGGTGCTGAGGCAGCTGTTCAGATTTTCTTCTGACATCAAAAATTAACCTTGAAGCAGGAGCACTGGTGCACTGTACCTCCCAGCAGCTCAGAGGCTGAGGCAGGAGGATCACAAGTTCAAAGCCAGCCTCAGCAACTCAGAGAGACCCTGTCTCTAAGTAAAATATGAAAAAGGGACTAGGGGTGTTGCTCAGTGTTGAAGCCCCCAAGTTCAATCTCCAGTACCAAAAATAAAGCCCTGAAGAAAAGGGTTAAATTCCCAAGGTGGCACAAGATAATTCATATTGCCATGGCTTAGCAAGGGCAATGCCAGGGTTGTTTCTTCATAATGTCCACGGATATAGACATGGTTTAAATGTCCTAAATGTCCTCCAAAAGCTCACATGTGAGACAATGCAAGATGGTTCAGTGGAGAAATGACTGTGTCGTAAGAGTCTTAACCCAATCAGTGAATTGATCCCTTGATAGGGATTAACTGAGTGGTAATCGAAGTGGTGAGGTATGGCTGGAGGAGGAGGTTCATTGGGGGCATGTCTAGGGGGTATATATTTTGTATCTGGAGAGTGGAATTTTTTTTCTCTCTCTGCTTTCTGATCATGGTGTGAGCTGCTTCCCTCGGCCACACTTTCCTGCCATGAAGTTCAGCCTCACCTGGAGCCCCAAGGAATGGAACCGGCCTTCTATGGGCTAAGACCTCTGAAACTACAAGCCTCCAAATAAACCTTTCTTCCCCTACAATTGTTCTAGTCAGGTCCTTTAGTCACAGCAAAAAAAAGCTGACTAAAACAGATATGTATATATCCAACAATTGAATCTAAAGTTATGAGAAATTAAACAATTCTGATCGTGAGGATCCATCCTGTTGGGAAGCTCTGAGGCTTCTGTTTCTTTGTTCACAAAAAAAAAAAAAAAAAAAAAAAAAACAACGGGATGAGCATTAAGCTTGCAGCTTTTTTTTTTCCCTCACGTGCTGGGGATTGAACCCAGGCCCTTGTGCATGAGAGGCAAGCACTCTACCAACTGAGCTATATCCCCAGCCCTAGTTAGCAGCTTTTATGCATTCAAGTTCACATTTTAACTGAAAGTATTAAAAGGAAGTCACCAATGTCTGCTCCTTCTCCATTAAGACAACTGCACTTAATCCTTTGTTTATTTGTAAATACACATCACCAGAATGATTATTTTTAAGATTATTTTTCTAATTTAGTTTGAATAAACTCATATCACAGTTCTTCTTATGTAAAATTAATGATAAATGTGTTCACAGATAATAAAATCTCTTCATCCTTGGGATTCTTCAAATTACTAAATCCCCAAATCAAGGATATAACTCTGAAACAGCAGTTGCCTAGCATGTGCAAGGCCCTGGGTTCAATGCTCAGCACTGCAGAGAGAGAGAGAGAGAGAGAGAGAGAGAGAGAGAGAGAGAGAGAGAGAGAGAATAAATCATCACAAGCAATAACAAATGCTTAGTTATAAAGTTCATGAAGACACCGAAATGATTATATTAAGCTGACTTACAAGTGAGTGCAAATATTAATGTTTCCATGGAGAAAGAAAAGGTGAGTATTTCTAATCCTAAAGTTTTCAATAGCCTAAAATAATTTCTCACATTT